TATACCTGCTGCGGCATGGATTTATCCACAGCCACAGTCACTTAGAGGTGCACCTGTTCCCGCATGGACTTCTCCATGGGCCACAATGCTTTCAGAGATATACCTGCTCCAGCGTGGTCTTGCCCGCAGCCACAGTCTCTTCAGAAGTAAACTTGCTCCACCATGGCCTTACCCATGGCCACACGCTTTGAGGTGCTCCAGCATGACCTCATGCACAGCCACTGATGCTTCAAGGTGTACCTGCTGCAGCACGGACTTATCCACAGCCACAGATGCTTCGAGGTGTACCTTCTCCAGCGTGGACTTATCCTTGGGCCACAATCCCTTCAAGAGGTATACCTGATGCGGCACAAACATAACCATGGCCGCAGATACTTCGAGACGTACCTGCTCTGGCATGGGCTTATCCACGTCCACAGACGCTTCGGGGTGTCCTGCTCCCGTATGGACTCATCCACAGGTCACAGTCCCTTCGACTCGAGTTCACACTGGAGTTCCAGCCTGTCCAGTACAGCAGCACAGAAACAGCAGCGATGCCCTGGCCATCTGCCAGCCCTGGCGCAGGGCTGTTGTTGTTATCAAAATGTTCCCAGGCACAGCAGAGTAAGATGATAAGCAGTTCAGCAAGCAGCAAAAGCAAAAAGCAGCCACTAACGAGCACTAGACTCTAATATACAGTAAGGCAAACAAGCCCCGTGGCAAGAAGAAAACTAACTCTATCCCAGCTGAAACCAGGACACAAATGTAACCTGATCGTAAAAGAAACTTTTCACACCAGGACAGAAATGATGCTTACATGTAAGTGGGCTTACATGTCAGTTAAATAGCTGGACTTTTCCCCCAAAACCCAAGGTTAACTTTTGTTAATTTGCCACCTACTATCTCGGGACTTAAAATTCATTGTGGGCCCACGAGGTGGCAGCAGATCCAAAAGCAAAATTAAGCAGATGGCCAAATTTGCGGGCTGGTTTAGTTTCTCTGAAAATACAAGGGCCTGAACTGATTAGATGCATTTTTCCCCACTTATGCTAAATGGTTTAATTTGGCTCGATTTTAGGTGAGGGTGAACTGCTTCCCTTGAATGCCATTTATGTGCGAAGTCATTATCAATAATAATTTACCCCACAAGCGAACAGGCAGAGAAAAGATGCTAGTGTGTCTGGTGATTTAAGGGCTCTGCATTATCACTCCGAGTCACCGCTTCAGTTCCAGAAGAAATAACTGAGACCACTGGAAATATTTCCTTCACTTTAAA